GGGGGGGTTGTGAAGCCAAAAATTTCTTACACAAAAAGTAAAAGTCAGTGTGAGGACCTGTTTGGATCTACGTTATTCCACACCACATCATACACTTAGAAAAAATGATTTACTGTTGTTGGTCGTACAAACCACTTCAATAATCCAGAACAGCAAGCCGAGGTGCGCATTTTATTATGGTGCCAACAGTTTGTCTTGATCAAAACTTGTGTTGGAAAGGGTGTTCATATGAAAATAATATGACTTTATTTGTCAGCTTCTTGCGCAGTCTTTTGGAGTAAAAGTGCACGTAATTCTATTACACCAACTGTGTACATGTAACAATCTATAACAAAGCATGAATGCCCCATGGCTAACTAAAAAGCCTGGCGGTAAGGAAACAAATTTTTCATACTTTAAATCAGCATTTCAGCAAACATAGAGAAAGAATACATGTAATAGTAATGGCTGTCAAGTGGTAAAAACCTTGTTGTCCAGTTAATTAATACTGGGGGGGGGGGGGGCATATTGTTTTAAAAGTATGGAATGTACAGGATACTCACTCCAAGTTTTGAACTGATGTTAACATTTTCTGATTCAGAGTATCTTTTCTATTTCACAGCTACGAATATGTTGGTCTGAGTGATTGGAGCTTCAGTTCGAGATAGATTGCTCTCGTGCTATCTTTATCGTCTTGGTGACTATTCTTGCCAAGACCGCCACCAACATATTAATAGCGGTAGCGGTGACGGCGACAGTAGAAGGGAACCTGCAGTTGACAATGCCTACTGTAGTGCCCATCAACCCCAACCACATCAACAGCCGTCACACCACACGCCATCTTCACTACCGAAAACCACAGCCCACCTCAGCCGCTCCCAGAAGTATCACCAGAAGTATCACCGTCCTTTACTAACCCTAATGACGTAAAAACTGTTACCCTAATGACGTCATGTTTCACGCCGTTGGCCACAATGTCAACGCCAGGGGCCGCTCGAGTGGTCTCAGCAGACACTACCCACACTTCCTCGGCCACGCTGACTGGAAGGCCGCCCTCCGGTGTGGAATACTGTTCTGCACCACTGCCTGTATCCTCTTCGTCATCGGCGTCATCTTGACCTGGCTAGGTACTCGTAGAAGTGAGCTACCCTGTGTCTTCATGTCTGCATGTTTCTGTAGTTAACAACACGTGCCAAGGTTTAGACGTTTTAACTTTACAAAATAATTGTTATAATATCAGTGCATTATTATAATATCAGTGCATTATTATAATCACATCAATACCTGATTTAAATAAGTAAGTGATTTCATTACACATTATTGACTGACAAGTCATTCATTTTAAAGATATCTTAGAGTAACCATGACATGATTACGGAGTATTAGTGGGTTTTTTCTCTCTGTAAGCGCAAATTGCAATCTTAATATTGTTTCATTTGTCTACCTGTCTTTCTTAGGAAAGTTTCATTTATTATAATTCACGTAAGTCCATCTGTGACCTCATATTTTAAGTGTTCAAAAAATAACCTTATATTTTCGACTTATTGACAATCTCATTAAATCATTGAACGTTGAAAGTAACTGTTCTGGTCCTTTTTACCGACAGAGTGATTGGCCATCTGCGCCGGTCCTCACATATTCATTAAAGCTTCAAATGGTGGTTTTTATCAGTGAGACACTGGCCTTATTAGAGATATGGGCAAAGATGGTTCACTAAATAATTAGTAGAATAGAATTATTTTGTAACTCGTAAACGATAAAACACACTTTCTGGTGAAATGATAGTCATCGCACTCACAATAATCATAGTTCTACTTCTCGTTCCTCGAGGGAGGCCAGGTTTAAGGACACGTCATAAGGTTTAAAGGGAGTAAAAGATCTAGGCCAATGACAATCTAAGAGATAATATCAAACCCCCACTACGCTAAATCTGCTTCATCAGTAGACAGACAAATTTTTACATTATTCTCTTTAAAATGTCTTTATGAGTGACGGTATTGGTTAAGGAAAAAACGTGGTTACGCTCCAATAGGAAGATGTTTTTAAAAAATAACGTGAACAACGTTTGAATTTGAAAATTGAAGAATATTGATTTCCAAATATTTAGAAATGACTAGTTTATCTAATGGCTGGCTCGTTGGCTGATCAAAACAACCTTGTAGTTATTTCCTGAAGAGGATCTGATTATCCGAGCATTGGTGGGGTTATTAAGGAACGGGACACTGTAGTGCAAAAGTCGAGAAATCTCCATCGATGGTATATTGACTTTGCAGATGCGGCTTTGTACTCTTATGCCTGGGGGGCACATAGACAAACTGGATGAATAGCCTGTGCATCCCTCATTAGATACTTCGGAACCACCATTTCTGAAACAGAAAGAAAAAGAGAAGATACTTGATACACACACTTAGTAATTTCCTAGAATCGATAATTTCATCAGAGCTGCTGATATGATGGCATTATCTTGTGTTCCACTGAGCTCTATTCTTAGAACTGCCCAAGGCTATAGTTCAAGATAGTGAATAGTGTTCTAAGCGATCTCAGTGTAAGACGGGTAACTTTCCGAACTGGAAATTCTCCAAAATAAATATTTTAAAAAATGTTCTACCATATGTCTAGATCTGGCACGTAGCACACATAGAGCTGCAAAAGTAAATCCTCACTTCAGTTTCTTCTTTGTAAGCATCATCTAATTTGACATTGTATTAATCTTTAACGAAAAACGCCCGTTTTGCCAATTGCTTATCAATAACTGCAACATTAACAACTGTTTGCTTTTCATCTCGCATTTTTGTACGTTATTTTAACAAGTATTTTTAAAACCCGCACCTAGTTTCGTTTACATGGCATTTTTCAAAAGTGTGTGATTACTTTAGAACATTAAGTTCACGCACGACAACAAAACCAAGTCATTTTGGTAACCAAGACAGATGCTTTATCTCGTACCACCTTTTATCTTTTCTTTATTTGTTCTACTCTATAAAAATAAATGAAGACTCAATTTAATCTCAAGAATTTCCTGACCATGTTAACTGTGTCCAATATAATGTGAATTTTCCTTTAAAAAGAGTTCCATATATTCAAGAATATATTTAAAAACTGTCTATAGCGAAATGAAACAAAAATGCAAAGCTCGAAAAAATTGAAAGGGAGGGGGGTGGGTTTTGAATTTTCATTTTGAAATAAATGTAAAGGCGTGCCGCCCCCCCCCCCCCCCCCCCCTCACCCCCCCAAATTGAAACATAGACAATTACAGTTCCATCTACAGGATAATTTCCTTTTCGTCTCTCTCATTTTTTAAAGTCATTCTCCACTAGTTTTGTAATTGTTGGATACGAACTTGTATAACAATCCGTAGTTTGGAATGTGAAACAGGGAATTCCGAAATTTTCAATCCTTTGCCGGAATATTCTTCTTCTCAGTATAGCGTCCTGTTTGCTGGGTGTATCTTCAAAGTAGCTCTTTTTGCATTTATCGGCTTGTCAGTGTCTTCAGCAGAATAAAATTCTAAAATCTGCACCTGCTTTAAAAAAAATGTGCCTCGGGAATTATTCCCCAAATGTTGAAACGGTACATTCCATTTGATTCTCTTCTTTTATACCTCGGGTATCATCGGACTTCAGTTTTCATGTCCATTGAAATTAATGAGTCACTGAGAGTTGAACACTTAGTATAAACTAACAGATCTTGTAATAATGCAGCTGAATAGGTCATCCAAATCTTTTAGCTGAGAAAAAAAAGAAAAGAATATCACTGTACTTGCAGCTCTATGTGTGTGTAACTCATTCAGATTTCTTTCTTTTTTTTAACATTTAAGATACGTTTGGGGAAATCTTGAGCAAGAGCACCTTTTTTGCTAAATATTTTTATTCCCTTTTTTATTTCAATTCATTGTTTCTTAGATGTATAGATAATTTAGTTTACTACTTTCTGTAGCTTTACAAAATGCATCATGCACGGGTTCACTTGCATGCTGACGTGTACAACATACACACACAGAAGTTCGTTTGTTAGAACTTCATGGCTTCTTTTTCCTTCTTAGTTTGGGTTTCCTGGATCTTGCGAATATGCCATTACTTTTGTATAACCGGCCTCTTTCTTTATTTCACCTTATTGCTTGGTTATGAGTCGGGTTTTTTCAATCACGAATAAATGATATTACTCCTCTCTCTGTCTCTCTCTCTCTCTCTCTCTCTCTGTCTCTCTCTCTCTCTCTCTCTCTCTCTCTTTCTCTCTCTCTCTTTATCTCATTCTTTCTTTCTTTCCTCTTCTATCTCTCTCTCCCTCTCCCTGGGTCTGTCTCTTTCTTTCTCTCTCTCTCTCGTTGTATCTCTCTCCTCTCTCTCTATTTCTCTCTCTTTATTCTCTCTTTCTCCTTCTCTCTACCTCTCTCTCTCTCTCTCTCTCTCTCTCTCTCTGGTTCTATATATCTCTCACTGTGTATCTCCCTCTCTCTCTATCTATCTATCTATCTATCTATCTATCTATCTATCTATCTATCTATCTATCT